ATTATCCCTATATAATCCCATTATACTATAGTAGTTTCCATTTTCTTTTCCATTACCCCAATATAACCCCTATATATTACTACATTATACTTATCGCTATATTATAAAGCTTCAGCGTCTTGCTTCCTAGCCTTTGGGTGAGAGTCACAATCGCAGCGCCACCCGCTCGGCCGCCGTTTTGACTCGCCTGCGAGGGCTTTTGGGGGAAAGGCGGGTTCAGGGGGTTTAGGGGTGTAGGGTTTAGGAGTTTAGGGTGTAAGGTTTAGGGTTTTAGGGTTTAGGTTTTAGAATGTAGGGTTTAGGGGTTTAGGGGTTTAGGGGGTTCCTGGATTCTGAGGATGAGTAAGGCGTAAGGACATGCAAGAGCACCGTGGGGAGATAGTTCTCCAAAGTCTGGACCAATCCTAATGCTTAGACGATATTTTGGGGGGGAATGCCCTACTCACTACGCACGATCCCATTCGGAACGCTTCCAGGATCGAGTCACTTTGTCGCCCTGAGTACGGACTCATACTACAAAAAAACCCTACAGAACCCTTATATAACCCCCTATAGTAGTTTGGCCATGTTTTTTCCATTATCCCTATGTGACCCCTATATAACCCCAATATACAAAACACCAACGCCCAGCCGAAAACCCTTAGCCCTTCAATCACAAGCATCTCCAGGAGTATCTAATTCAATTCTATTGGGGGTTATATTGGGGTTATATTGAGGTTATATTGACGTTATATTGGGGGTTGTTATGTTGGGGGTTATTGTCATGAAGCTACAACATTAACGGCTCTTGGGACCAGAAGTATGATTGCAAGAGTACCCAAAAGGCAAGTAGGGTACGTAGCAAGGCAGTTTCAACCGGGGAGGACTTCAGACAATTGGTGGTTTTGACCTTGAATTCAGGTCGTCTGCAAGAATGGATGGCACAGATTCCCTGCTTCCCTGCAATGAAGTGACCACTACAGGACCAAAGAAGAAGGGGTATACTAATTACAGCAGTTATGGCAGATATTACAGCAACTATTGCAGTATACTTAAGATAAGTCAGCTTACCCCGAACATTGTGCCTTCTTGAGCAGTGGCAGCGCTGCTTTCGAGAGCCACATGCAGCTCATGAAGTTGGTATCGAAAACTTGCTGAAACTCTTCCTGCGTGAAGTCCTCTGCCCGCTTGCGGATGTTGATGCCGCAGTTGTTCACCAGGATGTCCAGCTCCTTTCAGGGGCTTCAAATTCTTCATCATGCTGCTGTAGCTAGCTTATAGGGATTGCCCTGATGACGATAAGTTTCAGTCGTCCAGCTCCTGCCACGGCAGCTGGTCCACAAGCTTCGTGACGCCCTCCTCGCTGGAGAGATCTGCCTGGATGGCCACGCAGTGTTCGCTTTGAGGCATCTGCTGCGCAGCAGCCAGGAGGTCCTCCTCACCACGTGCGCAAATGACCACATCTGCACCCAGCGACAACAGCAGCTCTGCAGTGGCAAGGCCGATGCCCCGTGAGCCCCCTGTCACCAGCGCTTTGCGGCCTCTTAGGTCCAAACTCAACCGGCTGTCAGAGGCCTCGCTGGCCTCCGCCCTCGCTGCTTTGGCGTGGGCCCTCCGGCTGGCACCGGCAGCCAATCCCAAGGCCACAGGAATGACCCGAGGCCATGCCAGTCCTCTCTGTGCGGTTTGCACGCGCCATGTGCACCTGCTGGCTGGTGGCGCCGCTGCAACTGGGGCAGGAGTACGCCAACCAGCTGCTAGCATCATTGCTAAGCCTCGCCCTATCTAGCAGGTTCGGATAGCATGAACAACTTTCCTCCACGACAAACTTCCTAGACGAAACGGCTAGCTTCGGGAAAAATGACGGAAGTTGGGTGTAGGTCGGTTGGTTCATCTACCACTTGCCATGGCAGCAATGATCATGTTTCAGGCCTGGATGGGAGGCGGACGTCAAGCACCGGCAGCAAAGGCCGAAAGCGGCAGCAAACTCTAAACATAGTGCTGGAAGTCGACACGAGAGCATGCTTCTGCATATCAACATGCCGAAGGGATCGGGAAAACTGGCGCGAATGCGAAGTTGATTTGTGAAGGCAGATCACCCATCATCTGTTTAACACTGACTTTTGAAATAGGCTAACAGATCTTTAGGCCTAGGCGCTTCAAGCTGATGGTACGGGGACCAGAAAGCCAATCTGGCAGGTTTCGACATTTCAGGTCCGCCCCAGAAAGCCCCAAAATCTGAGACAATCCCAATAATCCCAGGAACCCCCCCAAAATAAGGTACTCTGCGCCAAAGGGACCCTAGAGAAGGACCCTCACTTTGGGGGGAAGTTCCCCTTTGGGTTTGTGCGGCCACGGAGGGGTAGCCTGAGGATGTCATGGAGTTGCTTCTTGGGTCAATTTGCAGTGTAGGGTTTAGGGTTTAGGGTTTAGGGTTGGGGGGGGTTCATAAAGAGGATCATACCACACACAGGGATGGGTCGGGGAAGTTCTTGCAAGAGATCTCGCCTTCTCAACGCCCAAGATACAAGAGCAATCCATGGTGTAAGTGCCAAAAATATTCATTTATTGCTTTCATCTCTGTTGCAGCCGTTTCGCTATTACTACTTTCCGTTGAAAAGAAACCATAAACATTCCTGAATCCTCTATCCTCCGCCCACTCTACAGAACTTCCCCACAAGCACCAAGGCTTGTTGACAACCCATCGAGCTTGCGCAGAACGTTTCCGCGCTCTCGCCACGCCTGCACAGTAGAGCTTTCTTGTGGGTGCTAGTACCAGGCGGTAACTTCAGGGCATCTGGGAATTATGGAAGGCACAAAGGGGCAAGGGAATCGTCAATACGATCTTCAGAAGCGAAACGACAGCAAACAGATGAGCGCATGCCTCTCTGAGGCCCTGGTCCTTGTTAAGATGATCTGCTCTCATGCTCCCTAGCTGCCCTAGCTCCCCGAGCGGAAAAGCGTAGGCCATGATGGCGGAGTTCTGTGACCACGAGGCACTGTCCTGTTCTGTTCAAGACATCAGACGTCACAACTGAGGAAGCCGAAAAGACTAACCGTTGCCATGCCCAAAAACAAGCGGATAATGGACCTGGCTTGCATGAATTGCCCTCAGAAGGGGGCAGTCGTTGCTGCAACAAAGAGAGCCCACAGCTTCCGCAAACTATCAGATTTCATGAGTTAAAGCCTGATCCTTGAACCCCGGACTTCATATATTGAATCATGAACCCCCAAGTCCCAAGGGCAAACCCAGTGCTTGAGACCTTAGCCCTCGGAGCCCCTTCCAATCTCTCAAGACTGAGGCTGTTGAAATAGACCCCCAAAGCACCTTGAAGACACTTTGAAGACCAAAGCGTTGCTTCTAGTTCCTTCCCCCAGTCCCCGGTCTCCAGCACACCATCAACAAATCGGGCCTCTTGCAACTAGAACCAAAACGTGAGGAAGAACGGAAGGCAGGAGATTGGAACCAGCTATCGAGCAGGCTCAGACCAGAGTGTGCTGACTCAAAAGATCCTAAGTGCCACACAAGGGAACCCCAGGCCCCAAACCCTAACACCCCAAATCTGTGAACCTTCAACCCGAAACTTGGTCCCCACCTGAATGTTGTACTCGGCCCGAGACGGCCAGGACAACTTGGCATGCTGGATGTTTAGCCACTCCTGGAGTCGCTGGAGGTTTTCCAACATTCGAACTGAGGGTTAAGTTCAAGCTTTTCAAAATTTAAGCAGATTGGTTGGGCCTGGGTTCTGGGTTGAGGCTCAAGGTTTATGGTCAGCTCTCCTGAGCAATCATTCAGCAATTGATGTTGGGGACTTTTACTCAAAACACATCCCGGTCTTTAACCAAAGAAGGACGGAAGATACCCGCTAAACCTGAAACAAACCTGAAGCCCCAAACTTGCAACCCTAAACCTTACACCACAAACTCTAAGGCCCTAAGGCCCTAAGCCCTCCACACCAAGCCGTCAACTCCAAACTGCCCGAACTGCCCAAGGCCGGTTTCCTGGAGGAACAGCCGCGTGCCCTCGTCGGGCACCACCAGGCGGGTGGGCGACCAGCGTGGAACAAGCAGATTCACCGAAAGCATGGCCTCTCCACTTGGGGGTTTCCCAAAATTCGGGGTACCTTTTTGGGGTCCCAATAATCAGGATTATAGTATTTTGGGGTCTATATCTTTATTTTGGGAAACTACCACTTCTACTTACTAGGGATGCCTATTTCTGCTTACGGACTTACAACCAACAAGTTCATGGTAGGCTACATGGCTTTGGGCTTTGGTGGGTCTAAGCGATCGCTCTGAAGGTTGGGTGGGTTGTACAGAACTGACACTTACCTGTAGCTGGGTTTGGAACCCCTGTTGAATCTATCGTTTGCTGGTGTTCGCACACCAGCCCGAATGTCACAGCTTTTCCTGCATCGTCTCTGCCCCTGCCCTGTCAGAAGCAGCCAAAGCCTTGCTGTACTGGGGACAGGGGATAAGTTTTGCCAAGTTCAAGGCTTCGGGACAGCACTCTTTGAAGGCAAGAAGAAATTTTGCAATCCATACGTGGAGTGCTTGTGATCATACCTGTCCACTACAGAATATAGAAACCAAGAGGCACAAAACTGGAATCTCTTGAATGTGGTTAGTGAGGCTCTCGCTCCACAAAGGCGGTTTAATTGTACTGGCATCTCCCTACCTAAAGTTGAATCCCGACAACACATTGAAGTAACATTCAAAGTCGAAGTATTTGTCCCCGCCACCCGCTTGGCATGATGCTCAGTGACCCTACACCCTTAGGTGCTTCGCCAAATTTAACCTACCCCTACCACTCAACACTCACAGAATGCCATGTCTCCCATAAAGGACCCTAAGTCCGTGCCCCTTTTTCTGCGGGAATCATGCACCTGTCCCGAATTTGCCAAGAAAGCCTCCTACGCTCCCCAGAATCTGATTCTAAAAGTGTAACTAAACCGTGTGGAACAAGCCGGACCCATACTGTTGGACGCCTCCCCCGTGCTGGCCGAGCCTGCACGACAGGGTGCTCGAGCTCTTTGGCACCTCATCCCAATTTCTGGCCTTTGGTTCGCTGGGAATGAAGGAATGGAAAAGAAAGGGACTACTATAAGGATCCGTTCCTTCATTCCTAGCTAACCAAAGGCCAGATTTACTTTCTTCAAGGGGGTCTATCAGGACCCGGCTCGTGGAAGATGCAACATTGATTCCCGAAGATGATACGGAATAATGAGTGACTCCAGCATCCTGCACTTAGCTGTGAGGAGGATCTGACTTTAGATCTCTCTTCAACCTTGCTTTGCCGGAGCAGTGCTACAGCATCCTACTTGCTATCTCTTCTTGTCTCCATGTATTGCAGTGAGTCTACCCTCGATGTCATGGGTAGCTCAGTCAATCCAGGGGTGTGCAAGGCCCAAGTTTGCCGTTAGAGGGTTTATGCAAAGCCCCAGTCTTTGTAGCATCTGGCCCTTATGAGATTCCAGACTACATGTCGTTGGGGTCAACAGCAAAAAAATCGCTGCCACCTCTTATCTTATAGTAAAACCCGAAACCCTATTGGGATTAAGGGATTACTAGGGTATATATTGGTATATAAGGATTATTATTAGGGTGTATATTAGGGTTATATAGGGATAATGGAAAAGAAGCTGGAAACTACTATACATGTCATCTTCCTCTTCCCCTGTGGAGAAAAGGATCCTTGCAGAAATACATGGAAACCGATGCCTCAAAAGCAGACCAGATCTCTAGCATGGACACAGTTCGGCCCGCTACTATTTCTAGTCCACCCTTGGTCTCCGACTACGCGACACCGTGAGGTGCGGCCGCCTGAGGATGTACCTCTGCAAGGCAGGTGCTCAGGATTTGGGGTTGGAAAACAAGACGGAAGCTGCTACGCTCTTTAGGGTTTGGTGTTCAGGGCTTGGGGTAAAGGTTTGGGCTGAGAGTTTTGGATCTTGGTTCGGGAGTTTGGATTTTCCACCTGATGTGAAATCACGCCATGGGCCCGCCTGGGCAATCTACATATTGTGAAACATCTGCTTGAATGCTTTAATGCTGCCTTGGAATTTCAAGACGCCCCATCCAACATGCCATCTGAGCTGTAGTCTGAACTCCTAGTGTCCCCCTTAATCACCCCTATAGCAGTCCCCTATATGATCCCCTATATAGCCCCCTTTTACTCTAAATCCTAAACCCTAAAACCGAGCTCTCCCTTCCCTCCAGATTTTCGCATGCCCAGAGAAGCCTTGTGGATCCTCTCCTGACCCTATATGAGCCATATTCTAAACTCCGTAAAGGGGGTTATAGGGGACTACTGCAGGTCTTATGAATGAGGATACTAGGCGTTTAGACTATAGTACTGACATATGAGCTACAATCGATAAGGCCAACATGATTTAATGGACATGGATTCCATATTAGGGACGGTACATGGGACTCTACTACACTGCAAGAGGGAACCCTATGTCCACTATTAAAGGTCCCTTAATAACGCTAATATCGACAGTAATTAGCTCATATACCCATCACTAAGGTCTTCTGAAGCTCGCCTGGTTAGACAAACTCTTGATGTTCTCAGATCCGGGCCGGATTGTCTCCCAAAGGACTACCGCAAAGGCGGTGTCCTCGGCCATGCACTGTTTCAACCCCGCGTAGGTCTAGGGCGTACTTGGAGGTCCGTGGGTACTTATGGCCTACTGAAAAACAGGCCCTAAATCCCCTAGTAGGGAATGTGACCCCAAAGTCAAGGTTAAGTTTTCAAGTTTAAGGTTCCCCTTCA